AATATGTTATGCCTTCGGGAATCTCGAGAATTCTGAATCAAAAATAAAAGGGGTCGAGGTCGATGAGAATTATATACATTTCTATACATTTCCATAATTAAATGTTAAACCATGTGTTAAGATAGGATAGATTTAAAGTGTTACAAAAAAGGAGATTTAGGATTTGAAGTTTATCAAGGTTAGGTCCAGATTTTTTATTTATTTATTAATATTAGGTGAATTATTACAGTTTGCAGTGAGAAAGGAGCTATATGTTGTGCCCAATTTATATTGTGTTTATTAAGAAGATAGAGAGAGGTTAAAGTTGGTTCATAAAAAATTAGAAACAAGTTACAGAAGAGGATTAAAAGTCAGGAGATTTGGTTTTTGGATTTTAAATATAGGCTGTTAGAGGAAAAAGGGGAAATTCCAACCATTTAGACAACATATTCAACATATTCACATACACATAATAACTTAGAGGTAATTAGAGGATGATGAGTTAGAGGTTGACAAATAAAATAGGCAAATGTAGGATGGCAAGAGTTCAGAAAGTATTTTTTAAATAATTTATTATCTGGATTAAGTTTCTATGGCTATTTAAATATATCAGAGAATAAGCTATGGTTTTCCTAATTATATTGTTATACATATGTAATAAAATAAACAGTAAAAAGCAAATTTATTTACTTATTTTACCATTACCTATGTATGAACAGATGTGTTATACTATAACATTATGTACAGAACTTTCATTCACAGTTTTAAATAAATTTCCATTTAAAACTTGGATAAATTAAATCGAAAATAATTATATTTTCGATTTATCCACATCCTCATCTATAATATCAAATTATCATCATATTAAATTTTTTTAGCAACCAAACAATACTTTTTCTTTCTTNTACAGTTAATGTCTAGAAAAATAATAAAAATTCCTGTATTAGTTTAATTAAAACTGTATATCAGTGTTTCTCAACGGGGGCAATATCACCCCCATGTGGGCATTTTTCCATGTTAAGAGGGGCGATTAGTAACAATTTATATTTTGGGGGCAAAAAACAATTTTCTGGGCGATATAGTAAAACATTATATTAAGATTAATTAGATATTTTATATTGTACAATAATTAAACAAATAACATTATACTAGTCAATAGTCTATTCAATGCAGTACGAATTTGGCATTAGTCTTGGTCCTCGGCATCGGAATTTTGAAGTGAAGGGGGGCGATACTACGTAACGGTTTTACTGAAGGGGGCGATACTACGTAACGGTTTTACTGAAGGGGGCGATACTACGTAACGGTTTTACTGAAGGGGGCGATACTACATTGAAGATGGCAATGATTCGTTAGAGGTTGAGAAACACTGCTGTATATTGTTTAGCACAAATTTAGTAATACTAACCAACAGTGGGCCAGAAAATATCTGTAAACCACCATAAAGAGAATCTGAAAAAGAGTAATATTTATAATAATTATAGATTTATGATTTAGATTCAGTTACATGAAGAACTAAAGATAATATGAAACACTGAATAGAAAACAATACTGTACACTCATGACAGTATTATAAATTAATAAGAGTAATAGAGAAATAAGGATGAGATGGAATATGAGGTACTATAACAGGAAAGTTTAAAGACAATACAATTCTGTGCCAGATTTTTTTGGTGTGTGAACTACTTTCTCAGAGAAATGATGTCAAGATTAAATGAAAGCAGTCATTTCATTTGAAAAACTTTTAACTGTTTAAATGAACTTTTGAATATTTAAATGTAAATTTAAAGTATTTAATTGCAAATAAAACTATTTAAAAAATATATATATACTTTCTCTTTCACTCATATTTACCTATCAGCCCAATTAAAACTAGAGAAGCATTTAATTTTTGAAGATGTAGATGCAACAGAGGAATGATCATGCTAACTCCAAGCAAATCCTGAAAAAAAGGTTTAATTACAATCATAAATAAGTACACATGGCATATTTTTGTGTTATAAAAGCTATACAATGTTTCAATATTTCACAGAATTATTTGTATTATATTTTTTCTATTATCTAATTAATTAAATACTTGCCATAAAGCCAGTAAAATAAATTAATTTTCGGGTATTCATTATTTTGAATATTTAAAAAACCATTTAAAGAAACAAGAACACACGTGAGATCCGCGTGTAAACTGCTAGCTTGTCTTTAATGTTTTTACTAGATGGCAGCACTACGTTTCAAAGAATACTACTGGACTGCCAATGAAATGCTCAATAATAATAACACTTCGATTTGTAATTTTACACACAAAAATATTCAATATTAATCTCAATTAATAATAAAATTTTAAAATTAATAATTTTTATATAAAATCGAGTAAATAGCGCGAAGCATCCTCTCTTTATACTCAATAAAGAGAGCTCTTTTACTCGATTTGAATTGAAGAGAACGCTGTCACGCGCGGAAGTTTGCTCTTTGTTTCTAAGTGACCATACTGGCTCTCTACTTAGCGCGTACGCGTCGCGGTCACACGATGATTCCTAGAGCAACACAACCGTTCCCCCCTGTGCCTTTACACTTCGCGCGAAATGGAAGGCGATTTGAAATAGAGGTGGATAGTTCCGGTCGGAACTGTTTCAAAAGACTCGGAACTACGAGGAACAGTTCCACAACGAGTGTGATGACGACCCTGGTCGGAACTACTAACGCGTTCTTCATTCTGCACTTTTACGAATACGGCCAAGCGGTTCCGTTCCCTGAAAACTGGAAGTTCGGAAGTGGGTCCGCGCCTCGCCCGGACGGGCTGGCCACGTGGAAGTTTTCCGGATTTTTTCCACGTTTGTAATGCCTGAATAGGGGCCAGTTACTTTTAAAAGACTTCACGGAAGGCATTATTCCCCGCGTAACGACCATTATAAACGCATATAACTACAATTACATAACAAATAAAACATACTACTTGGCATTCACTTTCACCTTGTATCAACTAGTTGGGCATGAGCTTCTAGGCCATATCGCTCCGTGGTAAAGTGTGACCACTTTACCACGGCTAGTAGTAGTACTTATGGTAAATATGTTAATGATTTCTATAGGTTCACTAGTTTTCATGCTCCGTGCAAACTGCTCCACGCCTTCCCGAGAACGCTTTCAAGGGCCTACTCGATAACATTTACGCTCGAAAAATAGATAATATTCAAACACTAGATATGATAACTCAAACGATAATGCTATAGATAACACTCGGAAATTTTGAAAAAATAATATAACAAGTTTCAATTCTAGCGTACCTTTTCTTTTATAATGTAATAATCGTTATGGATATAATTTATTTCCCATAATTGAACGAAGAGATTGATGTAACTCGAATAAGATTCGGGAAAATGGATCCTAACCATCACCGAAAGCGGCTTATTAATGATAATCATGATTTCTTTTTTAAACAGATTACTTTTTTATTAATCCCTTTTAATTAATTAAATTAGATAATCCACCAAAAATACTTTTGCAGCTGTTCATCAGTCTTCGAGAAACGGGGATAATTTTAATAGTCACCATTGATTAGGGTTTTTTTCCCGGGATCCCGGGATCCCGTTTTCCCGGGATTCTCGCCGTTTATTTCCTACGAGAAAAATCCCAGGAAATTTTATTTTCCCGGGAAATCTCGCATTTCAATAATAATTTACCATGTAGGTTTTCTTTCTATTATTTATTATACGAAAAGTTGCATCTTGAAGACTCACCTAAAAGAGAAATTTTGAGGTTTCTTGCTGCATATTATTACCTATGTTTTACAAGTCTCTACTTGTTAGTTCATGTAATATCTATGTATTGTGTTTGCGCATCATTGAACAGCGGAGACTTGCTGAAAGTAAATATCACTCATCGCACTTTAGTTTATTTTTTATTTCATCTTTAGAAGTAAAATAGTATTTTTTTTGGTAATCATTAAAACTCCCAATGAAACGCTTTATTTTACTTTCATCTTATAATGTAGGAGAACATAAATTAATTGAGCCTAACGTGTCCGTATGGGTGAGATTGGCCCTACACTTTTATTTACTTACTAGAAAAGAAATTAAATTATTCAAATTTATGATATTCCTGTATGATCTTTTTTATTCATATAAAATTCTATTTTACTATCTCATCCCGGAATTTCCAGGGATCCCGGGAAAAGAAATCATTTTTCCCGTAATCCCGCTGGAGGCAAATTTCCCGGGAAATGAGAAACCCTACCATTGATAGAGGAAGAGCAAGAACTTTATGAAGCGAACACCAGATATGAAGAAGCAAATTATTGCTAGAATTGGTCAGAATCTTAGTACAAGTACAAAACAAATAGCTAGAACGGTATACGCCACACTTTCTAGACTAGAGTATCATATGTATGGCATATTCATCGTGAATACCAATTGCATCTATATCATTTACAGCGAATGCAAGCATTTGTGATTTTCTTCCATCCGCCAAGAAAACACGATTTTCCTCCACAAGTACAATTTTGTTCATGTTGCCTGCGAAGGAGTATTAATCGTCGTTTTCTCAGGAATGTTCTTTACACAATGAAGCTGTATTACTGATACATTAGACTTAAGTTAAAAACAGAAATGACGTCATTATAATTTGACGCTCAATAATTCGCTAAAAATGTTTCATATTAAAAAACTGTCCTCCACTTTTATTCAGGTTATTTTCCTCCTCCATAAGTCTGTGAAATTTGACCAAACATTTTTAAACTCTAGACTAGAAACACTATCCAATCATTTGATGATAATAATAGCGTAATAATTTAAACCTATCGACGGATTCTCTAAACTACAAGCACTATAGATTATGTAATAATTCTTGAATCTGTGAAATNGGTAACAGAGACGGTCCTGCTAGGTGTGAACGCGGGCTGCCAAATCCCGAGGGTGCCGATACCGGTCAATTTCAAATGCCTCTTTTGTCGCATCACTAGTATATCTGAAAAGACGCGACAGGGTTCTTGTAAATTTTAAACGTTTCTCACCATAGCTGTAAAAGTCTAAATATGTTAAACTTAATAGATTGTCGTCATTTGTTTTCTAACTAATTCATTTTAGGACCAGGTGCTGTCCACCTGGTCCTAAAACGAACGATTTACAACTTTTCGGTCACTCTCGTTGAACTGGAAAAATGTCTGTTTTTATTACATCTAATATTTCGAAGAAATCAGTCCCACTGTACTCGACTAGAGATTGGTTCGGTTAGGCTTTTGTTCAAGTAAAATTTTGACTCTTTCATCAGGATTTTGTTTATGTCCCCAATTCCCTAATCGCTTAATTATTTAACTACTACTTAAGTAGAAATANTATAATATAAAATTAAAAAAGATTACGAATAAGATTTTTTTGACAGAATAGTAGAAAAAAGTTACAAAAATGCTTGAAAACGGTAAAATTACCTACTAACCAAATATATAAACCAACTTGTCGCCGTAGTGCGACTCTAATGCCAGCTATCGGCAATCTGACACATTAACTCTACTTGAGAGCATAGCTCAAGGACCAGTATATTTATCGACTCTGTTCAATACGATTGTTCTCAGCTGCATGCAGTTTTGCCAACTGTATAATAATTATCGTATTTGTACAATTATTTCAGGGCCGTAAGATGTACTCCTACTATAATACCTGTAGGAGTGTACGATAATTTCAGAAATACATCTTACTCTCAAAGTAATTGTTTGCAAATTAAATTGTTTCAATAGTTATCAGCATTTTTGTACTGTACGTATCGCTTTCTCATTGATATCTCAAATCTTTTTTCTTCACTAGAGTCCTACTAAATTTTCATGCGTTTTTCCTTAGATACTACTATATATTCTCGAATATAAAGCCCACCTTTTTCATACTTTTCGAAACTTCTAACTTCTATACTTTTAGATAGACTGATAAAATTTTCAAATTGACACACAGAAAATTTGTACAAATAAACATTCTGTTAAAATGCCATTATACTTTTACTTGTACAAAATATAAGTACTACATTAACACATTTTATTACAGAGTAGTTTCCATCTAGTAAGCTGTCTAGAACAGCGTTTTTTGACATAGGGCAGCGTTTCTTCAACTAAGAGGTCGCATCGCAAGCACTTGAGGGATAGGCTAAAAATTTTAGACGGTTGCAAACATTTGGAAAAGCTAAGATATATATATATATATTTGTACGAAAACACGTAAATTTTAGATTATGTCATTCAGAGGTTTGTTTTGCACCATATTATAAGGGAGAGTCGTGAAAACTTTTTCATTGGAAATGGGGTTTTAAAAATTTTTTGTTGTAAGAAGGGGTTTTACATAAAAAGTTTAAGCTATTCTGACGTGAGGACTTAGTTAATACTTCTACGGATAGAGGCCGTAAATGTAACGGATCGAGATAGCTGTATGATAATTTAAAGTGAAATGCGATAATTTCAAGAGGCAGTTACGATAATTTTTTCCCTTAAGGTTGGCAACTTGGCTGCATGTAATTGTTTTGTCACAGGTCATGTGGTGGTGGAGTCTGATTTAAACTTGGATCTCGCTCACGCAATCCGCGGATCAATTGGCATTCGACTACCTATTGTTAGTATTTGAAAGAAAAGCGGTAAAATCGAATGTCAAAATATATTACTGTAACAGAAAATACAGCCATGAGTGCGGCTTTTTGTAAAAACTTTCTATTGTTTATTTTTATGTAGAAAATGGTGAGTTTCTTGCGTTGGATCTTGGAGGAACAAATTTTCGAGTAATCTTGATCGAGATGAAATCTGGCAATCTGGAAAAGGAACTGGTTCAATACTATACGGTACCAGAAAATATCAGAATAGGCGAAGGTGCTCCTGTAAGTATTCATAAGTACGAATTTAATCGTTTCTTAACGAGCCTTTTTCGTAAATTTTAAATTAACCAGTCTCTTGTTCTAAAGATAACTTCGCATTTTTATTTTTTTATTTTTTAGAAATTTTACTGCAACTCCATAAACCTTACACTGAATATAATAGCAGAAAGTCTAAAATGTGATCTGTATGGTCATGCTTTTTTAACTCTGCCTTGTAGACACAGATCTTTTATCACAGGTCCATCACGACTCCTAGTCATCACCGAAGTTTCTTGGTGGTCTTCTTCATTGCTGATTCGGCTAGACCCACAGTGGGAAGACTGGATGGAGAAGGATGTATCCGATATACCCATTCATGAAAATGTGTAAGAATTGGAACCTGGGAACTCAGAACTGTGGATTAAAAGCAATCAAATGTTTAAGGTGTCTAAATAATCAAAGTTGTATTGAATTACAAAATTTACCAGCAGTTTCAGGTAATAAAGACATTAGCCTGCCGCTCTAGAACGATCTGGGTCTAATCCGAGCAAGAAACCCATTCCATTCCATTCCGGATACGTCTATCTCCGTCTCGTATCACCCAGTCGTCAACCATTGTGGGTCAGCCGAACTCACAATGATTCAAAGGCGCTCCTGATGCCATAAGGCGAAAAGAATCAAAATTGACAATTATATATATATAGCCTATATAAAGAATTAGCGTTTTAAACTTTTTGTATTGTATCTAACTATTAAAATTTTGTTTTTAGCTGTTTGATTTCTTAGCCGAATGCATTCATCATTTTCTGAAAACGTACAATTTATCTCACAAAAAACTTCCTTTGGGTAAATTAAAACGTAGTTTTTAAATATTTTTCAATTTATCAAATTTTAATAATAATTTGTATAAAAATGGCGTATTTTTATATTTAGACTTCACATCATTAATTGTTAAATCGATTTTTCTAGGTTTCTGTTTTTCATTTCCTATGATTCAGAAAGCTCTGGATGTTGGAATACTTGTCACATGGACCAAAAGCTTCAATTGCCCAGATGTCGTTGGTAAAGACTCTGTTCAGATGCTGAACGATGCCATACACAGAAGAGGAGTAAGTACTGAATTTAAAATATATGTAATGTGTGCCTCGCTTTTTACAACACTCCATTCGTAGGATATTAACATTGACGTTGTGGCGGTTGTGAACGATACTACAGGAACACTTGTAAAAGGAACTTTAGTAGATCAGAAATGTGCCATTGGAATGATCTTAGGTTTGGTAACATTTTAAATATGTTATGATCAAAATTAAGATATCGTGTTTATAATTTTCTGTAACTTTTAGCTACGGGCTGTAACGCTTGTTATTTGGAAAAAGTAGACAGAATAGAGAAATGGAAAGGTGATCATCCTGGAGTTGATGAGGTAAAAAAATGATCGAGATTTTGTTAAAGCAAAGATTATTAATTTATTTAAAATATTTAGGTGGTAATAGATATAGAGTGGGGTGCTTTTGGTGATAATGGAGTTTTGGATTTTGTGAAAACCGAATACGATCGTGCTGTGGATAATCTTTCTTTGCTCGTAAATTCTTTTACGTACGTGAAGAAACCATTTACTAAGTCGAACAGTTCCTATTCATTTCATATAATTATACTTTTCCATTTTGCAGATTCGAAAAACTATATGCTGGTAAATTTTTGGGTGAACTAGTGCGTCAAATTATGCTAAAACTAATTAAGGAACACTTGTTATTTAATGGAATTCTAACGGAAGAATTGGAGCAGCATAATAGTTTTACTACTACAGATGTATCTCATATAGAAGGGTAAATTTTATAAGTCATTAAATGGAGATTTTAATTGCAAAACTTTAAATATGTTATAAATTATAGTGAACATTGGGAAACGGAAATCTATACGATTTTTGAACGTTTAGGCTATGACAAAATTTCCAAAGACGACATTCATATAGTAAAGTATCTGTGCGCCATTACTAGTCTACGTGGAGCATGCATTGTTTCTATCTGTAAGAATTACTTTTTTGTTTAAAAAGACAAGACCGTTAATATAATTAATAATAATTTGCATGGAAAATTTTAACCTATTTAACCAGGTTTATCCAGTTTATTAGAAAGAATGAATAAACCGGAAGTAACTGTTGCTATAGACGGATCACTATATAAGCATCATCCGAAATACCATCCTCTGATGGTAGAATTTATAACTAAAATGGCTCCAGGAAAAAAGGTATTTGAATTAAATGTAAATTCATAGTTATATTATAAGTTTGTTTGAAACTTCGGATTTTTTCTAGTTTAAATTGATTCTCGTTGAGGATGGGAGTGGTAAAGGAGCTGGTCTTGTAGCAGCTATTGCAGTGAGATTGAAAGAAAAAACAAATTTATAAATTATCAAAACAGATTTTAATATCTTAATATCCGATGTACTGAAATGTTTAAAAAGTTAATTTTTGAAAAATTTTGAAAAATTGATTTTGTCGATTAATTAAAAAATGCCTGTACAACATCTCAAGTTTGTGAATAAATTGCTTTTTCATCAAATGCTTGTAACGCAAGTGTTCTTTATTTCAAGATTCAGCCTTTTTGGAACAGTTCGAATAAACTGGAATTTATCAGAGAACTTCATTGACTTCCCAAAAATTAATATTGTAATTTCCTAGAATTCAGCAGAGCATTATCAACAGCTTTTTTAGGAATAAATCGCTAAAACAAAAATAACGGATTACATATATATATTTAAATATAAAATAAACAGTAAGCATAAAATCATTCCGGTGATGTGTAAATTTTCATATTTAACAGTTTCATAAAAAATTTATCTATATATATAAATGAGGATGTTTGTTTGTTTGTTCGCTATGCACGCCTAGGCCGTTCGATCAATTGTTACGAAACTCGGAAGTGACGTTCTTACTTCTAACTTAGATAGATCAAGTTGTGCATCTCACATCAAAATATTAATGAATTTTTACATAGAAATTAATTTCTGTCTACATTTGATTTTCTAGCTGTACTTGTAGCAAAAAATATAAGAAATTAATAAAGTAAATATAATTCTGTGAGAAGCCGGGGGTTAGAGAGTAAAGCTTTAAACTCCTTTGATCGATGTCGGGTTGGTAAAACCTTCTCAAGTTATCACTAGATAGCTAGGAGGGCTATAAATCGAGTGGGGAGGTCGCGGATAAGTCGATAGGGTTACCAATTTGAACAATTGGAGTCAACCCCAGTTTAACTAACCAATAACTTTAATAGGAAAATAAAGCGTTATACAATAGCTACGATTACACCTGTATGTATAGCGTATAGCACACGCATATCTATACGATCCGATCGATATCTATGGGATAATACTGCCTAAGATTTAAGTCAACCGAGAGAAAGAGTTTACATAAATCGGTTAACTATCATACCTTTTTACCGTAGTGGCCGTTGTCCTCGGAGGTAAATTATCCGTGGAGGACCGGGGAGATGTTTGGGAAGACACTTGCACAATTCACAAAGATATTCCTTAGGGACTGACTTATGGCGGAACAGGAGCTGGCAAGTAGAGCTTCTATGCTCTCCCTAGTATGTTCGCTTCGAGTATGACGGGACGAGCCGAGACTAGCTATGGCTTCTGGAAATGTCCGCCTTGACGAGTGGGTGCCCGGCTGTTATATCCCTCTCCGGTGTGGGAATTTGGTCTCGTAACCTTCTGTTTGTAGTGATGGCACCTACCTTCAGTGTGTTATCGACGGGCCGGCTAGGGCGGTGGGAATTTGACTCGTTGTCAGACTCACACCGTGAAATTGTTTAACTTTCGAAACGTTCTCAGATCTGTGAGAGGAATGGGACTTGTTGCGTCAAAGGCTCCCTTTTTAACATGAGTTTCTTAGTCGATTGTTTACTGTTAAACTAACAGCTGTTCGTCTGTTTTCTAACTCCGTGGGAAACGGATGGAAATAAAAAAAGTTTCATATAATGCGGATTCCTTATATCGCGGCGAAAAAATTGCGACCGTATTCGTATAAAGATGCTAAAAGAGACTCGTAAAACGTCATCGCCGACTCGTGTCGCGATGGGATTGGTCGAATCTGGACCAATAGTGGACGAGCAGCCGAACTACTTACACGCTACAGAGTTTAGGCGGGTAAGTTGAGTTTACTATCGTCTGTACAATATATAAATTAGGTACTGTAAGTCTAATACAGTACTATAATTTTAGACATTTCTTGTGATAAAACATTTCTTATTCAACGGCCATAAAAATTATTTCTATTAATGATGTATTCAAAGTTCAACGAATTTTTCGCAGAAAAATAACTTATCAGAAAATGCGCCCGCCGTTTAGTGCGCTTCTCCGCAACGAAAACAAGCTTAAGCAATGGCGTCGTCAAACGGTGAACACTCGGTAAGTAATCCTACTATTTTTTGTTTATAGCATAGTTTATACGGATTATTCCGAAAAAATTATACGTGTTTTGGAAATGTCGAGTCAAATTAGTCTAGAATCAATTAATTTTATGGAAGAAAACCTTTCAAACAGCCGTAGTTCGCAAACTGCACACGTGCCGGGCTGTGATTGGCTCATGTATTTAAGAATTCCTACAATGTGAAATTCTTATAAAGTGGAACGTATCTACCGATATTACTTTCACTTAATTACTGCGACAATGATATAGTACGAAATAGACGCCCTATTACGCGCCATTAGGCCATTACTGCGACAGGTAGCAAATAGCACTTGTCTGCGTGGAGTGTAGTAGTGTTTGCCCCGTACATCATACTTTTCCTGTTATCAATAGAGTCGTGCCGGTTATGTATGTAACTCCGTTCAGGGTAAAATTTTAAAATTGAAATAACGTGATTTTCGGTTTCCATCCGAAAGTCTAATATATATTATCAGTTCGGATATAGTTAATTGGGGCCTCCTGCCTCTATGCTTTCCATATCTGGTCCCGGCATTCATTTATCTAACTCCGTTCTCAAAATTAGGGATTGACAGCAGACAGACGACAGTGAATTTATAGGCCTACACTTTTTCAAATTGCAGTCCAATAATATAGTTCGGCTTTACATAAAAGTCTTCCCGGGATGCATTCCCTCGGCAGATCGCTCGGGTAACCAAATAAACCAGACTAATTCTAATAATTTTCCTATAAACGCGATATTCACGTGGACATAATTAACTAACACGAAACTGGAGATCCCGCCTCTCCCCTGATTTCATCTCCCCTTATCAACTCATAAACCCACTGTCGTAGACTTCTTTTATTGATACTGCTTAAGATGTTATAACGTTCAGCCAAATTAATGGACGTACGTACAGTACAACGATTTTAAGGCACAAAGCTCGAAGTCTTTTTCTGTGCCGATGTTTATTTTTCCTATTTATTATTATGGCGTCATTGCTTCATTCAAAATTTCCTGTAGTTATAGTCTGTCTAATGTGTACTTTATTCACGTGTTGAGTCATATTGTCAAATCTGATTCCACAATTGTTATGCTACAATTTTCAAAACTTTTCTTTGTTTTTGCTGAGCTTTACTTTTTCAACCTGGTTTCACCAATTTCTTTGCGGGATCACATAAAACCAATTATTCTTGCATTTTTACTGGATTTTTTTATTTAAATAAGTCATATATGAAGTCTTTCGGCGTTAAGGTTAGCAACTTCGATCATGTGCGCCGAGGCCATCACAACCCATCCAGCACGGAGAACTTTTCAAATATTAAGACTAGACCGGTATTACGCAGTAGTCGTGGAGCATCTTCTTTCCCGGGAGTAGGAGTGCTCACCAGTGGCCAAGCGGTCTTCGTACCCTGAACACTGACAGCCGATTGCAGAGACAGAGTTTACGTTAAACGACGTTTATCAACAAAACGGTCTATAGACGTTGGCTGAATCGCGGTTTAAAGTGCGTTGCAAAGACGACGATCGTCTATTTCTGACCGTTTTCTAAACGAACTTTCGGCAAAACATTGGCTCTTACTTACTTCCCTATTACTCCTGTTTTAGGAGTCGTTCGGCCAATCGGGTTATTTGTTTGTGACGTCAGAAATGGTCGCCAACTATACTGTATTCCGAAAGCTTCCAGAAATAAAATTTTAAGGCCGTCAAAACCATTGTTCGGCAATTAATGACAATCCTTTTCCATTTCGATATTTAATTTTGTCGCCAATACGGTTTAAAATATGAACAAATCCATATTTAGAAAATTTATACCGAATTCGAAATTCGTCTTCGGAATAGATTTTTAAGGAATTATTTCGACATCTTATTACTGTCAAAATGAATAATTTTAAATATTTTATTATTAATATTACANAAAAGAAATCATTTTTCCCGTAATCCCGCTGGAGGCAAATTTCCCGGGAAATGAGAAACCCTACCATTGATAGAGGAAGAGCAAGAACTTTATGAAGCGAACACCATATATGAAGAAGCAAATTATTGCTAGAATTGGTCAGAATCTTAGTACAAGTACAAAACAAATAGCTAGAACGGTATACGCCACACTTTCTAGACTAGAGTATCATATGTATGGCATATTCATCGTGAATACCAATTGCATCTATATCATTTACAGCGAATGCAAGCATTTGTGATTTTCTTCCATCCGCCAAGAAAACACGATTTTCCTCCACAAGTACAATTTTGTTCAGGTTGCCTGCGAAGGAGTATTAATCGTCGTTTTCTCAGGAATGTTCTTTACACAATGAAGCTGTATTACTGATACATTAGACTTAAGTTAAAAACAGAAATGACGTCATTATAATTTGACGCTTAATAATTCGCTAAAAATGTTTCATATTAAAAAACTGCCCTCCACTTTTATTCAGGTTATTTTCCTCCTCCATAAGTCTGTGAAATTTGACCAAACATTTTTAAACTCTAGACTAGAAACACTATCCAATCATTTGATGATAATAATAGCGTAATAATTTAAACCTATCGACGGATTCTCTAAACTACAAGCACTATAGATTATGTAATAATTCTTGAATCTGTGAAATCAGGCTAATTATTACACCCTGGAAAATTGGCAGTTTCACTTTCACTTTCAGGATTTTGAGATTTTGTACTTGGAAACTCGATATTTAAAAGATTTGTTAATTAAAATTTACGTTACTTTATGAATCTCACAGTAATATCTCGCGTAGAGGGATAATATAGAATTTTATTTTTTATTTTTCGTAAGTTACGGCGGCATGAACAAGTATCATCGTGGGGAGTTTCGGGAATAGGTTTGAGCATAAATATTTTATTATAGATAAATTTTCTCTATATGTCTCCTTTAAACTAAAAGTATGTCCCTTCCGCCCCTCCCTGATTAGGCCTCTGATGACCTATAATAAATTTTTAATGCATTATTGAATTAAATGTAATAATGACCCCGAAACATTATCCTTGATTTTTATATCCTACATATCAGAAAATAAAAATAAATTGCAAAAGAAAACTGATTAATAGTATCTATCATTTCTCGTTTCGTATCATTCATATGTAATAGTAATGTAATCGATGCAATTGATAAAACTAATTTAAGTTTATATTTTCATATTA